TTTTTCAGGGCTTCTAACCATCTCTTTATTTACTGACAGGTTTGCCACTCTTGTCAGAGGTATTAAAAGCTAGCATTTTGCTAGTAAATCCAGAAAACTAGGGATTCTTTCCATTGTATAAGCCTTCGCAAATCAGTTCGTACTTCGAGTATGTTAAATAACCAATGACTCTTCTAAGATAAAATTTCACGGCGTATTGCTCCGCCCCTTGCTTCTAGTTCCTTGGAGCAGCGTGTTGAATCAGGCCACGGTTCCACAGGTACTTGAGCTTCCTTAGTACATGGATGCATCTCATCATGAACGATGTTACAGAAGTTGATGTTGCCAAGATGCTAGCGTAGAGACATGCTAAGCTGTTCGTACGGTGCCAACAAAAAGATGATGATCGAAGGGCTAATGCCTAGCAATCCAGCTGCAGAAGATGGATGATCATAGAATATAACCACGTAGCATTGATATATAATCGTTATTGGTGTTACAACACTTTCGAGAATGTCAGTTAGATATTTCATCCATACCAAAACGCGTTGCAAAAAAAGAATCCGAATTCTTTATATATCGTTATTGGATTAAAATTCAAATATTTTTCGTCGTATGGCAATCTTGAGATTTAATTAAACAGGAATAAAGATTAGTCGATACTGTTTATACAAATCTGTCAAGGTTACTCACAGGTGACTCAGTCAACCCACAGGTTACTCATGTATTTCTGTAATCACTCTGGCGACATTCCTTGTGACATTGTAGTCATTTGCTACAAGATATGAACATGTGCGAGTTATGTCTTCCTCTAAACAAAAGATAAATACAGTGATCATTTCTTATGTTCTTTCCAACTGAACACTGGTAACTGTCAATTGCGCTTGAATAATTTTTCATTTACTATTTAATTAGCAGGTATGTTTCGCATGAAATTAGCAGGTATGCTACCATGAAGAATCAGAAGTAAGTTCAACGATAATTGCCCCCCCCCACCGATTACATTAATTAATATTTAGTTGTGATTTATGGATATTATTTATTTTGAGTTGTAATTATTTATTGCTTTATTTATCATAAAACTTATATTCGTTCCTGGTCGAGATCAAGACACCACTTTAGCATTTCTTATTTCTTCATAACTTCTCTACCTCCTTCTCTACGAAAAGGCAAAAAACATTGAGAAAAAAACACTCACCGACTAAGGCCAGTATGGCGGTCAAAAGAGGAGCAACGGGAACCACGACCACGCGATTGATTTCAAACATCTGGAACAGCTCCAGGATGAACAGAAAAATCTGGTGGTATGAAAAACGCAGCAACATCGAAATGAGAAAGGTCTAAAAATGCACATAATTAACGCCAGCACTCTACAAGAGGAGGCCGAACGTCTTTATTTATTTAATGTATTTTATTCCAGAGGAGCGCAAGACATCAGCCAACTATTTCAAGTTTCACATTAGAAATTACTCAGCTAGGACTTGAAACATCTCTGATAACTGGGTTGACCTATACTCTCGAGTTCAGTGACTAATCGTCAAGCAAACACAGATACACCTTACAAATCTTCACAATTGTTGTTTTGTTTACCCTCTATCCACAATTACTTGAAATACAAATAGTCAAATTCCAGCACAATTATTGTGGCTCGTGCTTAAAAAGCTGTGAAGTTTGCTCGTGCATCGGTAGTCAAATCGAAAACACAGCAAACAACACGGTTTTATCTTATACAGCGCAAATTATTGGAGTATCATATGAAAGATGACTACCGACGACGCTGCAGATCCTCTCTCACGCACTTTCTTCAAAGAAAAACAATTGATATTCGGTCTATGGCAATTAAAAGGTTTCGACTCGTAGGTTCAACACCATGCAAACTGCACATGTAAGCATATACATGTGGCTATTACTGACTCATCAGCAGTTTTCAAGGGAAAGAGTCAAAAGGAAGGGGCGAGGTAGCAAAACAACTCATTCCTCTGTTCAAGTCGGCTTAGTTGAAAGAATGTCACTACAGAGCTGTCGCATGCTCTGAGCAAAGCGGCAGGCAGCTCCGCCTCGCTGTCGGAAGTCCTATCCGAAAGACTGGTCACAACATATCAAATCCTCAGTTATAAGCAGTAATCGATAGACTTCGTGACTTACATGTGTTGCGATTAACGGAAATCAACCCAAGCTTAAAACCGCTAATCCTGAAGTGTTTTAACCAAATCAAACCTGTAAGCATCTTAATGCAATTTCAGACCAAAATTATTCTGTACTCTCGATGAGATGCAATTATTCATTTAAAGCACAACGTAATG